TAGAGGCGGCGCAACGATCAGCCTGATGGGGATTCCCTGCCTTATCTCACCCAGGGGACAGTTTTGGCAATTAAACTCACCACCACCACCACCGCCATCACTTTCAGTCGGTTTGAAATCAGCCAGGGTCACCTCCCGCCCATCGCGTCGACCACCAGGCTGATAGGACACAGAGGGCAGGGAAGGCGTGGGCGCTATGCGGAGATCGCATATGCACTGGCAATGAGCGCCCTCTGAGAGTGTGTACTCATGGGGCCGCGAGAGGGAGTGGAGTATGGAGAAGAAAGGCAACGGCGGTAGAGAAACCCCAAATTTCCGATGGGATGTTCCCGCCCCTCCCTTCTGTCGTCCTCAAATGAGATGATTGCAGCTACGTCGCCAGCTCCTGTACACACACACGCACACACTCTCTCTCTCTTAAACCGGACTCAAGAAGTCACCAAAGCAACCGAAGGAGGGGAGGTTACAGTCTGACCCACCTGAAGGCTGATCAGGCTGTCATGACTATGTAGCGACCGGTGACGTCGAGGACAGCACACAGTGAGTAAGTGAAACATGAGGAATAAATCCTGGCTAAGAACGAGATGAAGAGAGTTGTTAAACATCGAGGCAAAAAGGTTGAGGAAGAAAGAGGTGGCCATGACTTTATAATAGGTGCTGAGGGAGATTGAGTATGTATGACAACAATTAAACGTGTATAGAGAATGAGTTACAACAGAGGGATGACCCGTCTGGATGGAGAGGTGAAGGTGACAGCCGATGTGTAACGCAGCGCTGTGGACGACTGCGGGGGAGGGCCGTGGAGGGTGACAGCATAGGGTGAGAGAAGAGAGTCGCGGCAAGTTGCAGGATGGGAGCTTGGCAGCAGAGAGAGAAGAGCACCGGTTATTTTCACCGACACGCAGTTACCCCACCACCACTCAGATCCGTGCGAAAGGTGGGCACTTCATTCAAACAACTCCGTACAGTTCGGGGAGGGTTGCAACTAAAAGATGTATCCTAACATAGCTGCCGAGTAGGACTTGGCGTGAGACAGAGGCTCATGAAGATAAAGGCTAATAAAACACTTGTTCTACCGATCTTGTCTCCTTCTCCGCTCTTGAAAATTCTGACCTCACCACGTGGTGATGTCGGTCTCTTCACAGACCGAAAAATACTACCGACAAAGGTATTTAAGACTGGAGTGGTTCTGACTTGTTTATTTGCGTCATCAGTCAACAATACCCCAAACCCAGGTAAAACAGATCCAGACATGAACCTCGGCTCAGTTTGTCATGGAGCTGCGAGCGTTTGTCCTGGAAATTCTCGAAGCATGAGCCATCGAAGCTTTTGGCAGCCTCATCAAAAAATGCAAGTGAGTGGACAGAGGAAAGAAGGGACCATTGAGTGGACGAAGGTATTAAAAGTCAAAGTTGTCTATTAGGTGTTATCGGCCACCAGTTGTGCGGAAACATCAAAACTGCCTTCGAACATAGATATTCACTTTGAGCCTTTAAGCCAATAAATTCCTTTTTCAGCACCTCGAGTTAACAAATGTCCGGCAAGGTTGAAATATAACCAATCCCTCCCCCCACGGGACCCATGCCTCCATAATTGCGACTTACTTTCGTTGGGTAGACGTCTGCATTTAGTAATTGACCTCGGAAATGATACTTAAGCAGTATCTTCGCCATATTCATCCCCTTGGTCCAGCAGACGCTTGACCATCTACCCCGACAATGACACAACCGAAAGTATGTATGCTGGCCTTACTTATCTGCTTGGGCGCAACACACCCTAGAGCCACAAAAAAGAAAACGCAGTAACTCCATGCGGTAGCGTAGTGTTATAGGACACAATATTCAGTCACAATGTCCAATGTCCAAACGGTTCTGAGTTTTGCAGGAAGTCCACAGTTCAGAAGTGTTTGCCTTTATAAGGGGGATGGTTCTACTGGTGTCCTTCTGACAGGCATAAAAAGCATTCAGCGATGTCACTGACGTGATGTTGGGGGTTGCCGCGTTCACGGAATACAGAGTAATTCGGGGGGTTTATCTCAGGAGAAGGATGTTCATATTTTGATCTAATCCTGTTTTACAGACTAGAACGGGCAAATGTGGGTAAGCTGAGTTGAACTACAGCAAATGTCCTCTAGAAAGACAAGAAATTCCTTGACCGCGGACGACGCGAAAAAATTAAAGTTGAGGGTAGAATGTGGGGCCAAATAGATACATGATACTTTTTAGACGACTAAGAGGAGTAGATGATGTGGGAAGGAGTTAAGTGGGGGAGGTTTAACTCTTTTTTTCCTCTGGCAGGTTTAAACTGTTTACTCATGCTTCCAACATGTGACTATCGGGCATTGGACACTACCAAACCACTGGTAACTTGCACTCTGTTCCCCAATGCAGGACGCTGAAAGTGGCGGAACTCGTATTTCGTAAAGCGGCTCCGGTCGCGTCAGCCGTCCTCCCGTTTTTGTCGGTTAAAATCCTGGTCAAGTGTCTGCTGTGGACCAGGAAGTGTGGTGGTACGCCTAGGTGCGGGTCCAGCCGTGCCAGCCACGTGCGCCCTCCCCAGTCTTCTTGCCTATGTCTTGACAGCGGCTGTAGGTGAGGGGAAGAGAAGAGAGCGCAGTTGATGCTGCGGTCTGTTATCACTTTAAACTACTTCATGCATAAGTCACCTTCCCTGATCTCACGCTGTAGTTGAATACACAGTGGATATCGTCGGTCACAACGGTCCAATTGTCATTTCGTACAGCAGTTAAGACAGCAATCGGCTCGCTCCCACCTGGCTTGTGATGTCCCGATTACATCTGACGTGGCTTGGATTGCGAGTCGAACTGGTAGAGCATTGAGCTCAGCGGGCAATCAACCCGCTCTCAAATACCGGGTATTCTCGGCCTAGACTTGAGTATAGTTGACTGAAAACGACAAATGAGTCTATAATTCCCTTTGAAGTGTGTCCCGCTACTGGAGTTAGTGCTCATAAAATGGTAGAGCATTCAGATAGCAAATCGCCCAAATGCGCCAGGCCCCACTTAGTGCACCGGTTAGAATACCGACCATTAAGGTCACTTCTAATTGTTGGAGTAGATCTGGCTTTCCTGTCTTTGGACAAGTAACCTTTCGCATTAGCACTATCGATTATCGAGAAGATGGACAGGCAGACATCAGCTGATTCTACCTGTCCCAAACATTCGTCAAGACTACAGAGAGGTCAGGATCCTGCCCACGGATGTGAAACTCAGTCCAACTTGTCGATCTGTTTAGTCTGACAGACTCTATGCTGATGCTGACCCTAATCAAGATCTTCCCCCAAACCGACTCACTTTCAGCCCTCCAGCTAAAGCTAAACAGAGGCAAACCTCCCGTCTAGGATGCGACGATGCGGGTCTTGTAAGCGTTGAGCCACCCCGACATCCAGTCATCATTTTATGGATTTTGTGATCGGTCAGTTTGTCACGTACGGCGAGCCTTCGGTCACGCGCACGCTCGCACCAGAGGAGGCTGAGTCTGGGGGGGGGAGGGAGGGGGGAAGGGGGCCGGATGCTGGGGTGTCCATCGCAGAGGAGGGGGTGTTGACGCTAAGTCTAAAATCGGACCATCAGAAGGATGTCGCTTACAACGTGGTGGGCATTCCAACCAAGTTGTCTGGGCCAACCAAAAGTGACGGCTTGCGCAATAGATGTGGGCTACTTTTCTAATGACACAACTCGAAAGATGTCGGCAGTGAGAGATTCCCGGATCTCAATTCACCCATGTGCTGGTGAAGTTGACAAGGAGGGGTTGATGAGAAGTTAAGGTGCCGAGGAGCCTGACCTTTCCGGTTATGTGACTATAAAAAGAGGCAGTTAAGGAAGACCTTGACTGTGAGGATGAAGAGGCACACAAGATGAGACAGTTCGGGGTAGAAGGAACATGAACAAATTTTACTGGGGTCGGGAAGAAGTGGTTCCACGCCTTCAGCTCATTGGCGAACTAGATGGTCCGGTTGGAAGGGGTGAGCTGACCGCGAGTTATCGATGCAACATAATCGCTAGATCCCCCGGACATGTGCGATCCCGGCAGGGAGGAATTTCAAGTGTCTCAAATGGCTTAACTGTCAGAAAGACTAAGCTAGGACAGGGGAAGAACCCAAATTGTTTGTTGGTCAACTTTGACAGGATTCCAAAAAGCCGTGAACATTAGAATGCAAAATGAGTGCAATCGTCCCTTAATCAAACGGAACATTGTGGGATGCAGACACCACCCCCGCCACTGCGTTCAATTGAATTGCGATCACACAAGTTATAGAAGACAATTTCCGTGCAAAGCGAAAATAAATATGCTTCCTGCTTAATATTACCTATAGCCTGAAGTGAAATGGGAAATGTGCGACAGAAATACGGCAAACATGGGCCACCATGCTGAATCGGTTGCTTTTGGTTAGTTTCGTTCTCTTAGCGCTGATAGTTAGGGTAATTACCAAAAAACCGCATTAGGCCCGTCAGAATGAGCATTAATGAGCTGCACTTCTCACAACTTGAGAAGACAGACTAAACTGAGTCTATATTTTTGGCTGAATGTCTGCGGTAAGTTGAAAAGCAATGCACAGGAAACACCTTCAACAGCCATACCATCTTTCGTAAATCACGGATTTCAGCTCAGTTCTCATTTGTCATCACTGAGGAGGAACTAGAGACGGAATGATCAGTGCCGGATTGCTCATTAAAATAAAATCACCTCAGTACAAGCGACTTCCACAGCCTTCTAAAGTCCTTTCACAGTGGGCAGTCGTGATTTCATGTGGCTGGCTTCCTCCCAACCATCATTTCATTGTTTCTTCCATTCCCAGGTAAAAGTGTGGTTTCAAAATAGACGCATGAAAAAGAAGAAGATTCAGGCCCGTGTCTCTGGTTGCGTGAATGCCAGCAGTAGTGTGGAGGACCAGGAGGCGGACAATGACGGCGACAGCGATGGCTACAGCACGGAAAAGGAACTGCAACAGAAGGTGTCCTCCCCGGCGGAAGCGAATGATGCTGGAGTTGGCGGTGACACCGGCAGTGAATCCTGTGCACCGACCTCAGCGGAGAGCCTTGCCGCCGATCCCTCAGCGGCCAGGTTCGCCGCTCAAGGCGCTTTCCTCTCGCATTTTGCATCGACAAAGCGTACAGAGGCCAGCACCACTTCACCTCCCTATCCACTTACCGCCTATCAACACCAACTCTTCGATTCTGCCAGAACCCTTGATCTGCCTAACCCCACTGAAATGCTCCGACTCTCGGCAACTCAGAAGGAGACCGCCCACACCGTCGCCGCCTCCGCCGCCTATCCACGAGACGTCGCCTACCAGACTCCAGTACCCACTGGGTCAGGAGGCGAGGCCTTCTTTACGAGGGAGCTGAATGGTTGTTACGGCTCAGAGTGGTGTGACTTGTACACTTCCAGAAGGTTTACACACCCTCAAGTATCCTACCCCTCCTCCCCGCCGCCGCCAGAATTGAGGGCAGAACCTGCGTTCCCACCAGTTCGCGAATCCCTCCCCGAATACTCCCGAGAGTTCGGACAGTCAAACCTAGTTAATTATCCATATACTCAGAAGAATCCCCTCCAATCTCTTGCAAGCAATGTGATTTCCGGCCTCATTGATAACACTCACGTCAGCAGTGGAAGCCAGAGTAACAGTCCTTCGATGGCTGGTGGTATAGGGGCGGTCGGTGCAGAACTTGGAAATTCTGGATCGCCTTCTCAGGTCTTCGGTAGTTCGAGATATCTACATGGACCCACACTTGGGCCGCCAAACACCCCAGCAACGGAAGACGGTCTCGGCAGATATGCGGCAATGTTCTCCAGCCTCCTTAACCCGAACACCTTTGAATCTGGTCGAAGTGAAGGCCAATCCCTTTCCTCAAATCAGGAACCTCACCCTCGGCCATGTGAGCCCCAGCATCAACGGCGACGCCAGACACAACCACACGACCCCTGTGCCTACCCCCCTGCCAACTCTGATCTTTATTCGCAGTATACTACCCACAACTACTCCCCATTCCCACAGGCCCAGACGAACACAGTATTCTCAGATGCCATGGTTTCTCATTCAGCTGCTGTGGTCGACCCGATGCAAAATTACTGTGCACCCTTCTACGGAACACCAATCTCGAGCCCCCAGAAACAGGCAGAAACGACGGCACTTCCTACCTATCAGACGGCTGGATTTGGCGAACAAAACTTCGCCAGCCCCTCTGTCTACGACTATGCCTCCGTGTTCTCCCACGTCTATCCGCCCATGAGACAGGAGGACAACGATTTGGGGTCAGTCAGCATGTTCCCGTCGGCATTTTCCGTGACAAATGGTGTGTCGTTGGAATCAACGTTGAAAATAGCTTAAATCGCCGCCCACAAAACCACCCACGCCCCCCCCCCCCCCCACCGCAGGCGTCCTTCTGCCCGCTTCTTCAATCAAGTGCGGTGAGCTTGTATAGTATACAAAAGATTTGGAGGTCAACTTTTCTTCTCCCCCTTCCTCCTCCTCCTTTTGATGTAAAAACTTTGTATCCCCAGTAATCTATCGATCTCAGCGTGCTATTTTTTGAATAGATCTTCTGAATTACGTTACTCGGGGTCGTTAGTAGTTCGTCTGTCGTTGTCTACGGGGGCTGCTTTTAACTCGAGGGTACAGTGCTCGTATGCGTGTTTATTGGCATACAGTGAGGAGATATGCGCAGCATCTGCGCCCGGCAGTAGTCCTGCGTTGCATAACACAAGTCTGAGATGGCTATAACAATGGCCGATCCAAAGAGGACAACAGGGTCAAGAATTGGAGCTCGAAACGACAATATTCAGCACAGGAAAGGCGTCTGCACGCATAGCTTTTGTAGTTTTCATTTTGCAAGGTATCCCCTTGTGCGCGTGGACGTCTGACCGGGAAAATTGATGCAAAGCCGCATAGTAGCAGTCTTCAAGTCCAAGAAGAGCGTGCTATAGCCCTCCGGTGGTCTAAGACCCGGCTCTGCTGTAACCCGATCACGTGGCACGACTAGGTTGAGAGATGGTTTTCCCTAGTCCCTGAATTCGAGGATGGACGTCTCCATCCACGCCACCGATACACCACTTTAAGGCTCCAGGATTGAGCCAGACAGCGGGTAAAGCCTTATCGGATGGTGGATGAGGTTTTTATAGCTGACACACCCGAAGGCACAGTACGCGACTGCTTTCTTTTCAGATCGGAGAAGGCGCACATTTCGCAGTTAGCTCTCAATTAAGATCGTTCCTCCAGCCTTTACCCGTGGACTCGCCAGGTATCCTCTAGCTACTATAGCGGGCAAGCATCGCATCAGACAGTCTTTTACGAAGGGTTAAAATCGGTCACTCGTAGGGTGTATGGGGTCGGCGGGGAGCTACTTAGGGTCGAATTTTAACTCCAGCAAGGACAGGTCTCAGCAGATGGATGGAAATGTCTACTTGACAAGCTAACAACCAAAGATTTTATGTCTTTTTCATGGCTCTGCGCTAGCGAGAAGCTGAACCATTAGTGAACACGGGGTCATCAAACGAGGAAGGCATGAGTCGTTTACCGACAACCTCCAATCATGGCAAAGGCAGGTAGCACCATTTACAGC